TGTGGCCGGACTAACCCCCACATATAAGTATAGAGTCTCTCCTTCAGCTGGTCTTGCCAGTGTTGAGAGTTGAGCCAAATGCTCACAAAGCTGCTGAAAGGCTTGCTTTTGCTCGTTTCCCCAAGTGAGCTCTTTTGATTTTGGGAGTTTGAGCGCTTTGAAGAAAGGTAGCCCTTTTTTCCGAGGCTTTAGAGATAAACCTGGACAAGGCGGCCATTATGCCAGTTAGGCGCTGAACATCCCTCTTTGTCTTCGGCTCGGGGAGATCCAGAGCTGCTTGTACTTTGGCGGGGTTGGCATCAATTCCCCTTTTACTGACCATGAAGCCGAGGAACTTGCCTAACTTCACGTTGAAGACACACTTCTTCGGATTCAGCCTCATCTGATGCTTGTGAAGGGTGGCGAAGGTTTCGGCCAGGTCCGTAATATGGTCCTTTTCTTCCTTGCTTTTGACGATAGAATCGTCTACATATACTTCCATGTTACGGCCTTTTTGCTCGGCGAATACCTGATCGACCAGCCTTTGATATGTTGCCCCTGCATTTTTCAATCCGAAGGGCTTCATTTTGTAATTGTACACCCCGAAACTTGAAACGAATGTCGTTTTTGCTCAGTCATCAGGGTGCATGAAGATCTGATGGTACCCAGAAAATGCATCCATGAAGCTGAGCAGGGCATGGACACTTGTCAAGTCGACTAGCTGATCGATTCTCGGCAATGGATAGAAGTCTTTCGGACATGCCTTATTCAGATCCGTGAAGTCAACGCACATTCTCCAGCTACCATTTGCCTTCTTAACCATCACCACATTGGCCAGCCATTCCGGATACTGACAGGGTTCGATGAACCCAGCATCCAAGAGTTTTTTGACTTCGGCTGCGATGTCTTGGTTCTTTTACGCGGAGTAATTTCGCTTTTTCTGCTTAATGGGTCGACGTTAAGCTTATGAGAGATGAGGTTCGGATCAATCCCGGGAATTTCTTCTGCCGAGAACGCGAACACATCTTTGTTGTCCCAAAGGAGTTGGATTAGTGCAGCACGAACATTTAGTTCAAGTCCTAGTCCGATGTTGACACACCTTTCAGAATTCCCTTCGACCAACTCTATTGATTTTGTCTGGTTGTCCAGTTCCATAGCTTTGGAACTGGGTTCTTCGGATTCCGTCCTGCTGTCAAATATCAACAGGCTTCTCGGATTCTGGCTGATCTCGGCTCAGACGAAGAACTAGCCCTTTCATTCCCCCAAAGATTTTTCTTTTGATGGGGTTCCTTTGGGCGAAGCACTTAAGCCTTTAGGCTTTTTTGCGCTACGGTCCCGCTCTTTTTCCTCCTCATCATCTTGGTCGCTGCGGCGACCTTGGATGGTTTGAGGTGGTTACATCTTCGGGCTTCCTTTTGACTGCCCTTAATCTTTTCGGAGTGTCCCTCGTCCGAAACATATATCATCGTTTGATGGTATGTCGAGACAACTCCTTGAATAACGTGAATGAGGGGTCTCCCATGATCACGTTATACATAGAGGGCGCATCTACGACCAGGAATTCAGCTATAATGCTCCGCACTACTCGTACTTTGCCAATGGTGACAGGAAGAAGGATCTTCCCATCTGGATATAATGAAGAACCATTGAATCCGGATACCGGGTAGGGTACCGGAGTTAAGTGCTTGGCATCCATCCTCAGCTGGTCAAATGCTCCTCGAAAGAGGATATTCGCCCCGCTGCCGCCGTCAACGAGGGTTCGCCAGACGTTGCGGTTTGCAATGCCCATTATTATCACCAATGGGTCATCATGGGGGTACACCACCCCCTCACAGTCTTTGGTTGTGAACAGAATGTTCGGCACCGTAGACTGAGGTGCCCGGAGCTCAGCATGATTTACTTGATGGGTCAGACCCCTCAAGTGGCGTTTTACCGCGCTCCGAGAAATTCCCCCGAAAATAGCAAGAATGTCAAGGGTGTCCCTGTCTTGATGCTTGTCTTTTTTCCGGAGAAAATCAAGATCTTGCCGAGAGTCTCTCTCGGCTTTCTTCTCGTCGCGGTGATCCGCGAGGTATTTCTTCAGATAACCTTTTCGAATCAGATCCTCAATCTGGTCCTTCAGCTGGAGGCAGTCCTCGGTGCGATGTCCAAGAGACTCATAGAACTCGCACCATCGGTCCTTGCCCTTCTATTGATGCCACGGTGGCAACGACCGAGGCTTCTTGAATCTCCCCTCGTCTCTTGTCGTGCTGTAAATTTTAGCACGAGGAAGAGTAAAGGGAGTGTATGAATCGTATCTTCCCGCATAGGGGACGAACTTTTCTTTCTTCGGCTCGGCGGCCGAGGACGGTTCCGAGGCCTTAGCCTTCCCTTTCCTCGGCGCCGAGGCCTCGTACAGTTGTCCTTGAGCTTTCCTAGCCCCTTTTTGGGAGTGAGATTTCGCCTTGTTCCATTCTTCGGCTCGGATAAATATATCTGAGGCATTCAAAGCTTCCTCCAAGGTATGCGGGGGATGCATGACCATGAAGTCCAGGAACTTTCCAGCTTGCAGACCATTCCGTAGTGCAAATACGGCAAGGCCCTGATCCAGGCTGGTAATTCTGGACGACTCGTTGCTGAAGCGAGTCAGGTAATCGCGGAGGCTTTCACCTTCGGCTTGCTGCAGACTCATCAGCTCTAGAATCGTCTTTTCTCGGCGGTTAGCCGTAGAAAATTTTCTCTTGAATTTGTTGGAAAGGTCTTTCCAACCAGAGATAAAGCCTTCTTTTACCCCTTTGGTGATCCATGATTGTGCAACACCTTTGAGGGTTGTTAGAAAGTACTTGCACCAGGTAGCCTCGAACCTGGGGTTAAGATACATGTGCCCCTCATAAGAGGCAATGTGGTCCTTTGGGTCCGAGGTGCCATCGTAAGTAATGTGCGTCGGTATTTTCACCATCGGCACATGCTCTTCCAGTATCCAACTTTGGAAGGGCGAGCTTGTAGGGACCATTACGGCCTTCTCCCTTTGCTTGGCCGAAGGGACCTCGCTTCTCCCTCTTAGAGAGATGGAAGTGGTTTTCGTCCCTGGCCGAGTCAATTCGGGGTAGGACCCGGTCTTTTCTGGGAAGGTGAGGCGGCTGTGCACGTTCACCTCCCTTGAGCCTAAGCGTTCATGAACACTTCGGCGAGCAGACTCCTCCTTGTATGTGGAGGTAGTATTGCTGCTCCGGAAACTCATTGAGTCCCGAGTTTCAAAATGGTCAAAGAAGTGAGGGTTCTTCTTCCTTTCCTTACTGGAATTCCATGTGTTCTCCTTCCACTTGTTCCCAAGCTCCTTGTAAGATGGAACTTTTCCATCCTTCTCTTGACTGATTCTCCTTCTTAGGTGTCTCGGCTGCAGAGATGAAGACTCAGGAGGTGTTGGTTGGAGTTGACCCCCTTAGGCCTTAAGGAACTCCATGCAAACCGCCACGGCCCTAGCCACTTCCTCTGTAGAGGGCCCCGATAGAGGGGTCTCTTTCGGCTGTGACCGAGAACGCTGGCTGCTGTTTAGTAGAGGACTCCTCGCATTAGACCCACTCGGCCTAGGTGAAACTTTCGGGTGTTGAGTTTGGTGCGAGGATGAGTCTCTCGAAGCCTCCCTTTCCTGAGAATTAGGGGCTCTTGAAGCTTCCTTTTCCTGAGAATTGGGAGCTCTTGAGGAAGGGGAGGATGGCTCTGGTGATGGTGAAATCGGACGATGTTCCCTCACCGTGATCATGTCCCTTTCCTTCCTCTTTCTAGCACTTTTGGTGCTTTTGCCACTCTTAATCATGTTTTTTGCTAGGAGTGATGGATTTTTGGCTTAATTTTTTGTATCTTCCCCACAGACGGCGCCAAATTGTTTCGGATAAAAACAATGGGGGCCTTTGGCAGGTCCTTTTAAGGTGGAGAAGACTGGTCTCAGTCCAAAGAATGCTGGAGCCGAGGATTTCTTGCACAGCAAAGAACACGTAAAACTGGCCTCAGAGGTTGTGCCGAGAAAGGCCCCTCCGATGCCGAAGTCAGTACAGTGTTTAAAAAAGAGAGAGAATGAGCTATGCAAGAGATTTAGTACTTGAGGCTGATTGTGGATAGTGTAAAAATGAAGTGAAGGTTAGCTTTTATACCTTTGCTCAATTATGGGGCTTGGGCCCTTGGAGTCAAGTGGGCTTGCCGCTTAGGTTGAACCTTAGACTGACTTGACATTGGACTGGAGGGCTGAACCTTGCTCTTGGGCTTTGATTGTATCATTTGTGGACTAGGCCCAATTGAGGATAAATTGGACCCAAACAACTACTATTCTCTCATGCTTCCTTCCCGCCACCACCACCACAATATATCATCTCCTCCCTTAAATTTTCTCTCTCCTTTCAACAAAAACTAACCACCACCGTCATACATCCTTTCTCCTTTCCTTACCCCGCTTTAATTGCTCTCTTCTCCTCCTTCTGTCGCCATTTGTCTCATCGTCCCTCGCCTCACTGCAATTTCTCTTTGCTCTCCATTCAATTATTTGATCATATAATGGACGAATTTCAGTGATGATTTTAGATACATATTAGGGTCGGCTCATATGATAGATTAACTTTCATGATGGGACCAAAAGTGAAAGAGGACAGCATCGTAGGTGGTGGTGGATAGATTTTTATTCAAAGGAGAGAGAAAATTGAAGGGAGGAGATGAGAAATTGTGGTGGTGGTGGTGGCTGGAGGGAGGAGAGAGAATAGTGGTGGACGTGGTGGTGGTGGTGAGAAGGAGGAGAGAAAAACAGTAGTGGCGGTGGTGGAGGAGGAGAGAATAGTGGTAGTGGTGAGGGAGGAGAGAGAAAAATAATAAGTCAATGCTAGAAAATGGGAGTCAACTAGCAAAAAAAAAAAAAAAGTAAGTTGGTGGTTTTTGTTTAGCAAAATAAATTTAAAACGGTTTTTTTCACAAAATAAAATGGTGACTTTAAAAGGTTTTTTCTGACAAAATTCTCTTGTTATAATTTATACAGAGTACTTAGATAATTAAAGATATTTTAGTCAAAATTTTACATTAGTGTATGTGCCATGTCAATATAAAACACTTAAAATAAACCATTGGAGTACATGAAACAAGGATAGAGAAAAGAAGGCAGCAGGAAATGGCTCTTACCTGGAGCTTATCCAGGGTAATATCATACAAGTACATTAAAATTACAATAATACCAAAAAAAATAATGTAGTTCATTCAAGTACCATTAACTGAAATTGCAGCCTTTTTCCAAACCATTTCCAGTCAATGGCAAAGATAAGATGAAAGACCAATTAACTTGCATTAAAAAAAAATAAAAATAAAAATAAAAATAAAAAAAATCTGTTTTTTTTAACTACTCTGTATCATAATTCCCCCTAGCTAAAATTCCACAATTCACATGAGTTTTTCATTTTTTTGAACCAATATTTGACAAGTGTATGTGAATCCACAATATGGTTCTTAATACAACAAGAGAAGGTTTAGGAGCCAATAATTTACCTTTTAAAAAATATATGTTCATAAAAGACCAAAATAATTAATTTAAAATTAATCAATGAAGGGACTTAATTATAAAATTAAGAAATAATTAGGAAGGACCCTGTTGATTTTTGTGGGAATTAGCCCAAGTAAAAATGGAGGTAGCAAGCCTATTAATTGCTTCAGTTAAACCATTAAAACCTTGTCTATTCATCTCTAATTCTGATTCTTCAATCCTTAATCTTGATTCTTGTATGTTCATCATTTCCCTGTGTCTTTTCTCTTCTCTTTCTTCACTTGCCTGAATTGCTTCTGTTATCATTGTTGCACTCCTACTTATTGCTGTGCTTACTTCTTCTAGTGTTGTTGTTGTTGCCTTTGCTGCGGCCGCTTCGGCGGCTGCTGTATGAGTAGCAGCAGCAATGGCTTCTTCTTTTCTTCTTCTCTTGGCCGGTGATGATTCCGGATCATGTGAATACTGGCTTGTTTCAATTTCTGATCATCACCCACATTTATTGTAACATCACTATCATGTTATGCAACATTTCTAATTGGATAACATATCCGTAAATAAAACAATTTTGGTAGTGTCATTGTAACATTGATAATGTTTGTTTCATTTTTTTAGAATTCAGACAAAAAAAATAATTAGTATAATTAACTTGGAATTTGGAATAGTCCAACATGAAATACGGAGAGGTAATTAACATTTATTTGGATAACTAGGTAAGAAATATTGTCCTATCGAATTAAAACCCCACACGCCAATCTGAGTTAACGATTACGAGTAGCTTTTTAGGATCTAGTGGGGGAAGAGTTTAAAAAAGTGTCCCCAGTGAAAATTAAAAACTAATTCAAGGTACATTTAATTTCTCGCTATTAGTCCAAGCTTATGTTAGTGTAACATGAAATAATAACCAATTTTAAAAATAACAACTATAGTGCAATGGAAGAGTTAACTTACCTAGTGTAGGAGATGGATGATGCGGCTGTTGTTGAGGAGAGAAGAAAGCCGAGGAAGGAGGAGACTGCAATAGCGGCGGCAGGCGAGGAGAAGGTAGCATAGATTGAGGCGGAGACAACTGTAATGCCGGCACCGATGACGGAGTTTGCTGCATTTCAAGAACCGGAGATGGCAACAAAAAATGACCAGCAGTAGTAGCAGAACTCGGAGTCGGAGTCGGAGTAGAACTAGTACTAGTACTAGTCTCAACAACGTCAAACAAAGCTTGATAAATCTGAGGCAACATATTAGTAGGCAGACCCTTGTCTTTCCTTTCAACCTTATCCATACTCCAATAAGACTTATTGAGAGTACTACTACTACCACTTCCTCCCTCGGTTTCGGGTTCGGTTCCGGTTCCGGTTTCGGTTTCAGAAAGGTTCTTTTGGTAGTCTCTAACTTTCTTGTAGTCTCTCATAAGATTATCCCATTTATCATTGCACTGATTTTGGCTCCTAAAACAGCCTTTTCCCCAACAATACTCTTCAACCCATTTCCACCTTAACTCTATGATTGGCTTACTAGTACTGCTACCACCACTAGTAGGAGGAGTTGAAATTTGATGTGTTTGTTTTGATCTACTAAACTTCCTTCTTTCATAATCTTTCTTCTTTGCTTCAATTAAAATCATAGTCTCTTCAACTGTCCAATTCCCTTTTCTGTACTCTCTCATTGCCATTGATCAGGAATTTGATTATGCATGCAATGTTGTTTACAAGAAATATTCTCAAATCAAGAAAATGAGAAATAAAATAAAATTATGAACAAGTTAGAGAGAGAAAGAGGATTTTAGAGAGAGAGGGAGTAATGGAGGAAAATATGGGTCTTCTGTCACAATATCTCTCTTTTTTTTCCTGGTATATTATTATTACTCTATCCGTACCTCGTAGACTGTCCCACTATATACATGGGTCAAACTTTGAAAATTTTAACCATAAATTTTCACTAACATAGTGCTTTTTTAGCTCACATGGGAATTAACTTTTCATGGAAATTTATATTTGACGGGAAATTTTTTCCTTTATAATTTTCCTAAAAATTAAGCTAAATTGTTTGATTTACACTATGAGAAATTGCATTTCTTAGGAGATTCAACTCACCAAGGGGAGAGTTGGTGAGTAATTTTCCATAGGTTGTGGGAATTTGTATTTCCCTTGAAATTGCTATTTCCCATGTTTAGTTTATTTTCCTCCAACCAAGCACACCTTCATTTTAATGCTTCATAGGAAATTCTATTTTCAAGGAAATTATCTATTTTTAAAATTTTACAAGTAAATTAAGACGTGTTTTAGAGACAATGAAAGATTAAAGGTGTAACCTTGGTAAAATAGTGGGAGTATTATTTGTATAATTTCATAGTATGAGTACTCTCTCCCTCATTTTATTAAGAGTCAGTATTTTATTTTGGAATAACCAAAATTAAGAGTCTATTTCTATTTAAATGTTGTACCTTTTGACAATATTATTTTCTTTTTGACGATTTGTCATCATTTTTTTATTTTTTTATTTTGTACTTTTGACATAAATTCTCAATATTTTCTCTCTCCTTCTTATCAATAATTTACAACCACTTTTTCTTTTTATCTATCTCTTTTTAACCCCATATGCATACTTCCCAATCATTATTTTAAGAAATCTACAAATTTCTTAATTTTTGTGAGAAATTCCAAATAAGCTCTTAATAAAAAGGACGGAAGGAGTATTATTTTTTTTTCCATTTGAATTCTGATGATGTCCTTTTTAGAAGTTGATGTGGACATAATGTAGGGACACTGTAGTTCAAAGTTCAATCAGATGCTAGTCAAAGCTGGTGGTCAAAGGTCTGTAACTACATGAAGTAATAAAAGTGACATTAATAAATGAGAGGAAACAGCCAAAATAAAAATGAGAGGAAGATAAATATGGGTGGTTAACTTCAGATTCATCTTTATGGCAAATGCTTATAAAAGACTGATCAGTTTTTATCTTGTCAGGCATTAGTAAAACAAAAATCTACATTTTGTATAGCTTGCACCAAGGAAAAAAAAATATTGCCTCTTTAAATTCCTGTGGGTCAAAAATCTATAAAACTTTAACCCCAAATTTATACGAGTATTTTTTTTTAAAAATAATATTTCGTATATACGCACTAGTTTTTAATGGGTACTAAATTTAAACATATGTAAGTAGAGTTTTTAGAAGAGTTGAATTTGATAAAATTAGCCCCTCTACTGAAGAGGTACTTGCATGTCTCGTTGAGAATTTTCCAATTGTAATATTATACGGGTCAAAATTACAATCTTTGAACACAAATTCTCATTAGTACTTCATATACTTTGTACTACAAGTATGTTAATTAATGCACAAAATATTATACGGGTCAAAATTACAAGTATGTTAATTTGTATCAATGCTAACTTTTAAAAACGAGTATTAGTTTTATGATTTCATGTGTGCGATATAATGCAAAATTTGTAATTGTTGCAATATCTAAGGAAATAACTAGAGGAACTTCAAATAAATGAAGATTCGTTTAGGTAAGTTTAAACAAAATACACCGTCCGTTTTTATAAGTGTTACATTTTGTTCGTCATAAAGTTTAAGGCAATTTAATTGACTTTAATACGGAGTACAACAAAAGGTAAGTGGAGTTAATACTCTCATCCGATCCGTAGTTGTTTGTCAAAAATAAAGTGTACTCGTAACATTCCTAAAAAAAAGGGGCCGAACTTAGTAAGTGTGACATTTTTTTTTTAAATTAAAAATAAAAAAAATGGAGTGTTTTTTTTTTTTTTTTACAACCAAAACTAAGCACATGGAATTTTTTTAAAAAATAAAATAAAATAAAATTGAGGTAAAAAAATTCTAGTCACTACTTTGACAAAAAAAATGTTTGATAAAAAGGTAAGAACATACACCATTACACCAAAAACTCAATAAGCTTAAAAATGCTGATCTAAAGCAACTTTTCGATGTAGTATATGATTAATTATATGACAAAGTCCAATGTTTCACCTTAAAATCATCAAGAATCTACAAAAGCTAAAAGTTGAAATCTAAATCTACTGATTAAAGCCAGTGCTCCCTAAAAGCACGTATTAGTATTTGAGAGGAGGAGAGAATTTACATTCCTCTATTTGAAGTGAAAAAGTGTGTAGCTCTGAAGTGGTTGATCATCATCATAATTTTTACTCCAAGTTTTACGTTTTTATCTGTCTTTCTAATGTTTGAAAATCAGACTTTTTATTTTATCTTTTTATTATTAGTTTTTTAATGTGTTTAAAGAGGTAAATACAGCTGCCATTGTTTTGGTTTACCAGTGAGTAATACATTACGAGTAACGATACACAACATGAACAATCGAACAAGAGCTAATTCTATGAGATAGGGAAATCACCAGCTACTTTTGATATTTTCTAGAGATTAGTGTGGTTAACGCGCACGTCATAACTAGTCATTTTCTAGGTGTCTTTTCAGTTATTGGTTACATTAAGAAAAACATATAAATAAATATTTTAGGGGTATAAATGTTCGCACACCTTTTTAAATAGTTCAAAAAAAATAAATTAACATTAATGAAGATAAAAACAAAAAAAAAACAATTAACATTAATGAAGGTAAATAAAAACTTGTACTGTATTAATGACGGTAAATATGTAAATACACATTTTGAAGGGTATAATTGACAACACACTATTTATAAGAGTAATCTTGTACTTTTTATAAGGTAGGGTTAGGGAGACCATTAGCATTGTGTACCCTTTCTCTAAAAATATAATTACTTGAGCCACATACCTCAATTCTTTGTCGTTTGTACTCTATTGATGTCCGTATTGATACATATGTCGATGCACAAGCAACTTTAATAATATATTTAATTATTAATAAGTATATATATAAATTATAACAATTGAATATTAATACTTAATCATTGAGACGATTTCAATAAGTAATCAAAACTATATTTTTTCTTATGTATTTTTACAAATATTGATCAAAATAGGTCAAGTAAATAGTGTAAAAAGTCTCAATGAAACACTCGAATAAAAGGAAGGTGTATTTCTTTAATCACATGCGGAGTAAGTTTTTTTCCTAAATTGAAAGAGTAGAAGATAAAGAACATTGGAAGACTTTATTCATAAAACGAACAATTAAAAAAAAGAAAAAGGCTAGATGCGAGATTCTTATGGATTGAAAACAATGGAAAACGATGTGTTTAGAAATATTTTCCAAAGGAACACTAATTTCCTATTTGACCCTTTACCCTAGATTATAGTCTCACGTGAACAACAATATTGCTTTTCCACAAATCCACAATTTGCCTTACTAATGATACTTGTAAGTTGTAACATATATGGAGTTCTCGTAGAGAAAAAAAAAAAAAAAAAGAGTTGAGTTTCCTTTGTTATTTTTTATCTACATCACTTTAACTTTATGTACTACCTTCTCCGTTTTTTTTATATTGCACCACTTGCTTTTTATGGAAATTTCACAAATATTGGATTACAAGGACACTTTTGTATTTTTATTTTTTCTTTCTTCCTTTTTCTCACTACCAAAATTATTGTATCCAACTTGTATGGTGCAATAATAAAAAAAAAAGAAGGAAGTATATACTATACTCTTGGCATTCTTTAATTTGACTAAGTTAATTGCTTTATATTTAAGGAAAAATATATAGTCATATGTGTTGAATTTTGTTAGAATTAAATGACCTCGATTTATACTTTAATAATATTAGATTTTTATTAAAAAAAAATCATAATTTATTAATAGTAGTGAGTGAAATGCAGAGTTATACATTGTTGATAAGAGTAAAACGAAAAGTGTTGCAAAGTAAATAAGTAATACATTGCATCAATGCATGTAATGACATGTATGCATAATAATATAATAATGTCTACTTGTTTATGAAACTTATACCTTGAATAAGCTCATGAAAAAGGTAACTTTTACGAGAAAATGTAATAATAGTGGCAAACGTTATAATCAAATCCCATACTATATTAACTTTATCCGTATGAATTATTACGAAACTTTCATGGAGCCTTTTCTCAAATTAAAAATTGTACTTTTTTGTATACTACGAAAAGAAATTAAAGGTGTTATACATACGAAGTACTCCGTAACAATTATAGCACTTCTCTTAACGTGATGCCCCCACTAATAATGATTAATGAGGTCAAATTGCTAGATAATGAGAAAAAAGAGGAAATTGCCATGCACAAAGTAAAGTAAAATTGTAATGATACTAAGAGATCTGCATGGAAGTACTCTATAACATAATACTACTAACAACGCCATGCAACGATACTAATCATTTGATTAATTATCTTGGTATTTGTGGGCACTCCCATGCATGCAATCTTATACTTTTAATAAAAACTAATGTGTGTTTCATGATTCTACACTACTAATACACACAAATTAAAACAAGTTCGTATATACATATCGTCTATTTATATTTTGTATCTCAAGATTGATAGAGTATATAAATCGAACATTGGCTTCAACCAAAGACTTATAGTTGAAGCCCATAATCTGTTCATATACTCTATCAAAGATTAACGAATAGAATGCTCCCTTTGTTCTTGGTTGAGTAACATTTTACTACGTATCTTTCTCTAAATGCTGGTTTTGTGGCGATGTTGCAGATCAATCATTAACAATTCGCCACTAAAAAAACAAATTTAAGGCCTTGGCGTCTTTTTGAGTGATGTTATTTAGCAATTTCCAATGAGATTTTAGTCAGTGGCGGATCTAGGTGGGTACAGAGAGGTACAGCTGTACCCCCATTCTTAAAATTAAAAAAAAAAAAAAAAAAAAAAAAAAAAAAAAAAAAACACTGTTGATCAAAGAGACCTGTTTTTTGTTACAGGCGGTCTCTTAAGTCTTGTCATACAAACTGACAAGCAAACAACAAGTCTGGCACATAATTTTGCTGAGTATATGGAAAGAGACCGCCTACTAAATAACTGTTCTCTTTTAGTTTTTACTTTACCAAATACATTAATACGAAAGTATTTGCTTTGTGATACTTTTTTTATTATTATTTTTTTTCCTTTCCTTTCCTTTCTTTTTTTTTTTTTAATTTAAAT